TTTTTTTCTTTTTTGACATAGCGACATTTTAAGTCGAAACTTATTTTATTTTCGGAAATAACCATAAAGAGTGAAACTTTGTGCGCATATTTCTATAGTTTCCTTATGTAGCAGCAATGATTACCGTTGTAGCTACTTTTGCTCTGCCATGTGTAAGTATTTTTTTAGCTATCGAATCGTAAAAAAATCATCTTGATAAGAGTTTTCTAATATTATTCTCTTCTCATATTTATTTACAGCTACGAAGCATTGCATCGAAACAAACAGGGCCGAGTGAGCAGGTTACTGTTTTTACTGTCTCAAAAAGATTAAATATTTAGATTTTTTTCGATTAAATTGCTCTAAAGCACATTAACGAATGGTAATAGGGAAAGACGCAAGGGTGCATTATGGGCATATGTTCTTTTGCCAACATTGTCTCTCCTCTTGCTTTCAATCCTTTGACAGGTAACTATATATAATCCCAATAGTTGAATATGATACACCAAAACATCCCAAATTTTGGAAAAACAGTATATCAAAACACTAATTTTGAACAGCCTTCTATGGGCGGACAAAACATATAGAAGTGGACTACCATTTTGTGAGAGAAAGAGTAGCTCAAGGATTGTTGAGAATCTATATATATATAATTGCTGGCTAATAGCATTTAATAAAACATTTAATAAACCCTCATTTCGATTTTCCTCCAAAAACCATTACAAACTTTATCATTTATATCTATCTCTCTATATTTAATTACTAATAATAAATTTAATAATATGGATTATTGTTTACCATCTTTTTATGTTACAATCTTTTTTTTAATTATTATTATTATTATTATTATTATTATTATTATTATTATTAATTCACCATATCTAATTAATGCTAAACTATTTCATTGCACTTTTTTAGGGTTAATTAAGACAAAAACCGTTGCATTTTATATTAACGAAGTAATAATTGCACTTTTTATTATATCATATAATAGTTATTATTAAAACTAATAATTATAGTTTAAACTAAATGATATATGAAAGTTACATAAACATAAAAAAATATTGTAAACTTTTTGCTGAAGTTATTTATTCTAAAATTAATATTATTTTTTTGTATCTTATATAGTGATTGTATTTTTAAATTAGTTAATTTTTTTTAATCTTATAGTAAAATTCCTTAAAATCGCATAATGAAATGTTATAATAAATTTAATATTTTAAAGCTAATAAATTGGCGATCTCACAAAAATACATTATTTATTATACTTTATTATCTCTATAAGAACGGTACGTTCCGAGGTGTGAAGTGGGAGAGGTAATTAATATAGCGGTTCATATGCAATCAAATAGTTATGTACTATTTATTTTAACCAATGAACAAATTTTAAAACATAATATCATTATCTAATTTATATTTTATTATTATATGCATAAATATAACTTATAATACTTCATATTAAAAATATAATATCATTGTATAACTTAAAATTTTAATACTATATTCATAAATGTAAGTTACAATATTCTATTTACAGTGTGCAAATGCACAGGGTCGAATACTAGTACAATTTGTTCCAACCGACGATCATGTGGCTGACGGCTTCACCAAACCTCTTCCTGTTCAGCAACTCGAGATGTTCAAAAACAATCTCAACTTGGGAAGTTTAGTTGAGATGTACAATTATTGTACATATTAGTTGAGATGATGGCAACAAAAAAGGGTTACTGTTACTGTCTCGAAAAGATTAAATATTTAGAGATTTTTTCGATTAAATTGCTCTGAAACACGTTAATGAACGGTAATAGGGAAAGACGCAAGGGTGCATCACGGGCATATGTTCTTTCGCCAACATTGTCTCTCCTCTTGCTTTCACCCCTTTGACAGGTAACTATATATAATCCTTCTTTTCCAACTTCAAATATTAAAAAAAAAAAGGTTTAGTGAAAAATAGAATCTGATTAAATTCATGCTTTCTTTCTATAGCATTGTTTTTATCGGACGATGCACCATTTCACTTTCCTGGATTCAGTATTATGGTCTCCGGCTTAGCAGCTGTAAGTTCCTCGGCCAAATATATAAACGAGCAAAATAAAAATTAGTAATTGTCGTTAATTGTTTTTAAAATGTTTTAATGTAGATGACAACATTCGTACTAAGCGTCACGATAAGGCCAACTCCTTCCCGAGCCCACTATTGCATCTCTGACCAAACAGAGCCCTTAGTTTGAACTGCTGAAGCGTTGGCTTGTGGCTTCCGGTCTAAATTACGAATCCAACTTTTCTTTTTTTTTTAAAAAANNNNAAAAAAAAAAAAAAAAAAATTGTGGCAATGTATAAAAAAGGCATAATTTCAAAACTGGTCCTATAATTTGGCCACAGTCCGAAAAACCACCTCTATATTGACCACTATCAAAATTAGTCCTATAATTTCAAAATTTAATCAAATTTGGTCCTTTTTATCTAGAACATGGATTAAAATGTGATTAAAAAATGACCAAATTTGATTAAAAAAGGACCAAATTGATTAAATTTTAAAATTATAGGACCGATTTTGATAGTGGTCAATATAGGGGTGGTTTTTTGAAATGTGGCCAAATTATAGGACCAATTTTGAAATTATTCCCCTTTAGGATATAGTTAAGGCCATATATGCCTGCAGATCAAAAGGCTACATTTTGGTGAATGCCTGTTCGAGAAGTTGACTGTTATTAGTAGTAGTTGTGTATAGAATATAAAAGTTATTGCACATTAGCAGTTGTAGCATCATTTTATAGTTATATTTAGTTTTAAGAGAAGATGTTTTCTATCATATTCAAACTTCATTTTTTGCATCTATATATGATTGAGTTGTCCAAATCAAGAAACTATCCCCATTACTTGATAAAGTTTGAAATAATAATAATAATAATAAATTAATAATCTTACAGGTAGGTCCTTTTTCTCCAAAAAAAAAATAATAATAATAAAATCTTAGGGAAGGATAAAATCTTATTATGGAAGTAATATGTAGAGGCAAATAATAAACATAACAAAAATTATTGTTAAAATGTGACTAAGGCAAGAAATTAATTATTAAACTGGACAGTCTTGAACTCGAGCGATCGAGCTACTTGATTCTTGTTGTCTGAAGTGGAGATCTTTGACAAAGTGAAGAGCAAGAGAGATGATGACAACAAAAAGGGTGCGGAAAGTGGGTATGCGCTGGAGAAGCCTAGCGCGAGGTTGTTTTAGTTGAGATGTACAATTATTGTACATATTAGTTGAGGTGTTCAAAAACAGTCTCAACTCGAGATGTTCAGCAACTCGAGATGTTCAAAAACAATCGTCATGAAAGAGTTGTTCTGTAATTACAAAATATTGGTCGTCACATAAAGAAAATTTTAAATATGACGATAACAACAGTGTCACAAAAAAAAATAAAAATTAGTGACGAAATATTCATTGTCTTAAAAAATGTACAAAAATGACGAATTCTATTGTCATGAAATTATTAGCTCTATAATTACGGAAAAAAAAAGGAATTGTCATCAAAAGCTTGAGATATAATGACAACATAAGTTGTCATGAAAAGGTATTTACTTAGTGACAAAAATTTATTGTTATTTTAACATTTTATATGGTGACAAATCCAAGCAAGTACATCACAATTAGATGTTGTCAAAAAAAGATTATTTTCAATGACAATTTAAAAACTGTCACTATTACAAATATAATAATTGTCATTAACTGCAGATATTTAGTGATAAATTTATTTCTCATGAAATATATAAAATAATAATAAAATCTATCGTCACTCTAAAACGTTATGTCATTAAAATGAAAAAAACAGTGACAAAATCTTTATATATAATAAATGATGGTAATATGTTCTTGATGATAAATTTAAAAATCAATAATAATAGTAATTTTGCTAATTTATACAAACAAACTAACAATCTAAAAATGTTCCAAATAAAAAAAAAAACAAA